AACGTCAACCCTCGCTTGATTCCAATCACGGCCAGTTGTTTGAAGGATGAAGTTTCAGGCCGAAGCGAAGCGACGTTCTAGAAAGTATTTTCCCAAGTTAGACGTTTCAGGGAGAAAATTGGTTTGGGACAATCCAGGATAGAAAACAGTGGGACGTCAACTTTGTCGGGTGATTTTGCTGGACCTTGAAGCGGTAGGCTCTCAAAGAGCCATTTCCACTGGCGTCTAATGGACCAATGACGTCTTAAAAACCAGTTCTTTGTCTTTATTTTTATTAAGCGATTTGATCGGCTACAGAGGTAAGCCAGTAAATCTTGGCAGCCGAACAGAATCCAAGTTAAATACCTTCTTAGAAGCAAGTGATCCCTTGTCCCTTAACCTCCCTTCGTTGTGATGCGTCTTTTCACAGGGAGCCATTAATGGATTTTTTTTTTCATACATATGTTAATGTCTTTGGGGAAGAAAATCTCTATTTTCTCCCATTCACCTCAATCCGATTGCTGTAACAAAACCCGGGTTTTATTATAAACTCCCCAAACTATTTAGACAGCGGCTTCACGTCTTCAGATATAGCTGTGTGAAATTTCCTCCTCCCTGAATGTGGTATTCATTGGCATTGACCTGTAAGCATTTATTTTCCCCCAGTTCTTCTGGCTTCGACTGAAATCCGTATCATTTCCCTTCGGTCAAGTCTATAGAAGGTTGAGAGTTCACCTCTAAGCTAAAATAGCAGGAAACAAATACTCCTTTTCTAAAAGGGAAGATTAACCAAAGTTTGTTTACAGGATGAAAAAGCCTGTTTTTTTGTTTTTTTTTAAGACTAACAAATTGAGGGACGCAGAGGTGGAGAACTCCTTAAAAAAAACCAATATGAAGCCCACCCTATAAAAGAGAGCCGGATAAGCAAGTATTCGGTCCAAAGATGTGGAGGGTTCTTTTATTTAAACATGATTTTATGAAAAGTCATAAAAGGACCCCAAAAAGGAGATTGAGGGACCTTCTTAAATCATGACTGCTCTTCGGAGATCCCAGATGTGGAGAAAGCCCAATTCCAGATTATCCTCATGTTTAAATCATTCGGTGTTTTCCTGGAGGCTTATATCCATAAGCCTCTTGAGCTGTTTACCTTCGTATGATGGAATTTTCCTTGCCTCTTCTGGGTCCTCCTGCTAGAATTTTCAAAGACATACCCGTAGAAACCTACAGAAGGTTTCTTTCGTGTACCCAATACAAATTGCAGACAAATACCCCAGTTCCTCCACCAACCCTTCTCAACTCACAGATTTCTCCTCCATGCCTCCATTGTCTCTGGATTTGCTTACAAGCCGCGTGCATTACCAAGAAGTGGCAAAAATGAAGAGCCCCCGCCCCAAGTGCATTTGATTAATTTCATACAAGCATGAAATCAGACTTTGCTTCTTTCATGCCCGCTTCAGGGTACCTTCGAAGGGTTTCACCCCTCCCTCCTAGGCAGACATATAAATCCCGTTGGGAGATTAATGATAATTGACTGCACTAATGCGAGGCCGTCTACCTTTGTGTCTACGAGTTCAGCCCGCCAGGTTTCCTTCAAATGCTTCTCACGGGAGAAGAAAGAGGGGCTATTGTGCTGAGAAAGGCAGTGTCTGCGTTGACAGGTGGTCGAACCCTTGAATCACCGACGCTTAAGGTACTTCAGGGTGACATTTCTCAGGACCTTCTCCTGGAGCGGAGAGATATCCGCCAAAGAGAGGTCTTTTCTCCTGAGTTCCCTTTTGTTGGTGCCATTATCGGATGTGTTGACAGAAGAAATGCACGTGCAGTGAAGGCATGAAGGGGGGCCCCCCGAAAAATCGACACCCAAACAGATGTTGCGACAAGGTTTTGTGGAATCTGAAACTCTGGCCGTTTAGACTCTTAAATCCAAAGCCATGCCTGCTTGATGCAGGAAGAGAAAATAAACTTTCTCGGGCACAGAGCTTGTCCAGTTTCTGCTGGAAGACTTCCAATGGAGAAGAGTCTGCCCTTTCTCAAATTGGGCCACCCCAAAAATCAGGAAATGAAATTTGACTCTACTATCGCCTCCATATTTGTCAAATTTAACACACGATTGGGGAGAGGTTTGATGTGGGAAACATCCTTGCGATGGAAAAACAGTATTTGCAATAACCTAAAGCCACATTTATCTTTTGACTTTTCTGCAATTTATTGTCTGAAATGGTATAAGGTTTTCTGCCCAAGCAGGGGGTTGGACTAGAAGACCTCCAAGGTCCCTTCCAACTCTATTATTCTATCCTACTCTACTCTACTCTACTCTACTCTACTCTACTCTACTCTACTCTACTCTACTCTACTCTACTCTATTCTAATCCTACTGTATATTCTATTGTATTCCAATTTCTACTCTCCTCTACTCCACCCCATTCTATTCTAATGTTTAAAAGTCCTTAATCTGTATGGGTTCCCTGTTCTTCATTGCTTTATCCTCCCTACTCCATAGGGCTCCTCATGAATGTATTAAGGTTCAAAATTGTTTGGAGAGCGATAAAATATCTCAAATTTTTATGCTTGAATGCCTGTCAAAACTTCCCTAAATTTTCCTTGATCCGAGAATTGCTTTTAGGTTTTTGGATAACTTGCTGAGGAGAACCCATAGTTCAAAACATAATGGGTGAAGTCAAGTTAGAAATTCAACTGGATGAATTTAATGAGAAATAAATATGGCTAATGGGATTATTTTTCATTGGATTTAACATTCTTCTTGTCTATCACAATAAAATTGCACTATAAAACAAACTTCTGGCAGTCCTTCAGGAACCCACCAAAGGAGTTTCAAGTTGTCTTCTTCTGTTTCATAGCTGTTGACAATATTTGGAATATGAGCGCTTGTAGGCCCATAATTTCTGAAGGCATGGCATAACTGGACTTCCACGTTATTTATGACATCATTTCAATTTATGGCACTGAGATTAACCCTGCAAGGGCCCGTATGCAATGGTCAAAGGAAAACAGTTCTGAAGCTACCTTTTGATACTTTCTGAATGGGCTCCCTTATTTATTCGGCTGAAATGCCTTGTTCATCAACAAACCCCAAGGAAAATTAGGAAAGAAAAGGAAAGTGTTCTGGTAAGTAAATTATATGGCTTTAAAATTCATTTCCATGTTATGTTAGTGCATACAGGGCACATATTCAAAATGACAGCCCTGGGAATAAATGCCGACTGAGATTGTAGCTCTAAATTTTGTGCTGAGCTGGGCCTGGTCCAACTATAAATTATAAAATTGCCCAGTTTTGGGGTGTTTTTAAAGGGAAAGTTGTTTTTCTTACTGGTTTTTCCCCAGCTCGCAGTCCGTAGTTTTCTTCCAGATTAAACTCTGCAGTTCCATATCATCCTTGCATCCGAAAAGGCATATTACTATTTTAACTATTATTTAATTAGATGAATTATGATATATTTATAATCAGATCAGCTCTTGACAATAGGAAATGACCCCACTTGCAATTCCCTGAATGCCAAAGTAGACAGAAGGAATGCTTTTATAGGTAGTCCTTGAATTGTGACACTTTTATGAGCTTCCAAAGGTCTCCTCAGAAGCTGGAGGATTGACAGTTCCTCATACTTAGACCCACCTTCTGAATTTCCTACTAATACTACTACTCCACGGTCACGTCAAGGAGGAGGTAGCAGTCACAACCTGCAGTGGCTGGTCAGCGTTCTTAAATTCATGTTCCTCGCCATAAAACAGAACCACCCTCAAAGAAAAGTGAAAAAACCTAGACAACCTACAACTACAATGCTTTCAGTCCGATCTAAATATAGTATATAAAATCATACATTGCAGTGTCCTACCAGTCAATGAATAGTTCAGCTTCAACCACAACAATACAAGAGCAAACAATAGATACAAACTCAAGGTTAACCGCACCAAACTTGATTGCAGGAAATACGACTTCAGCAACAGAGTGGTCAATGTCTGGAATACTCTACCTGACTCGGTGGTTTCTTCCCCAAACCCCAAAAACTTTAACCTTAGAGTGTCTACTGTTGACCTCACCCCTTTCCTAAGAGGTCTGTAGAGGACCCGCATAAGCACACCAACGTGCCTACCATCCCTGTCCTATTGTTCCTTTTTATTTTTCTCATATCCATTTCACATATTCATAACTATGTTTATACTTATACCTATTATCTTGTAAGCGATTGACAAATCAAATAAATAAAAAATAAATTCTGAGTCCAGGAAGCAACTGAAGGAAGAGCCGATTGGAAAGGAGAACATCAAGAGAGGAAAGTCTGCAGAAGTGGCCTTTCTCATAACGATCAGCAGCAACAAAGAGGACTAGAGAACTGGAGGCTGAAACGAAGGATGAACAGTTGAGAGAACTGGGTATGTCAAGTCTAACGGTGTTCCAAGCAGTGTTCCAAGATTGAAGAGGCTCCCACAGAGAAGAGGGGAATCAACCTCTTCTCCAAAGCACCTGAAGGCAGGACAAGAAGCAACGGATGGAAACTCATCAAGGAGAGAAGCAACCTAGAACTCAGGAGAAATGTCCTGAGAATGAGAACAATTAACCAGTGGAACAACCTGCCTCCAGAAACCGAGGGTGCTCCAACACTGGAGATTTTTAAGAAGAGACTAGACAGCCACTTATCTGAAGGGGTATAGGGTCTCCTGCTTAAGCAGGGGGTTGGACTAGAAGACCGCCAAAGTCCCTTCCATCTCTCTGATTCTGTTATTCAAACAACCCTATGACATTTGGGCATTCACAAAACCGTGGCCAAGAATGCCCAGGTTCAACCACGACAGATAAGGTCCATTTTCAAGAAGGTCCACAATTCAATTTCCACCCAGCAATCTGCTACAACACCCGAGGACACTCTCCATGGGTAGAGAATAATTTGGGAGAGGAAGTATTTAAATATTCCTATCCATCACTATGATCCACAATGGACAACCTCACAAAAAGTGAAGGAGGTTGGGCGCACATTTTCAACCAAACCAAAGACGTATCTTCTTACCTTCAGCAAATGGCTCCCACTCATAGAAACGGCCCATAAATGGCTTGTTGTTATACGATGCACACTGCACCTCTCTGATGTTTCTGTTCTCAAGGCAGGCCTGTTAAATAAATTGTGGGAAAGATACATTAACCACGTTGTTTAGAATTTAAAACAGAGGTCTCCAAACTTGGCAACTTTAAGACTTGTGGACTTCAACTCCCAGAATAGCAAAGGCTACGCTGGCTGAGGAATTCTAGGAGTTGAAGTCCACAAGACTTAAAGTTGCCAAGTTTGGGGACACCTTGTTTACAAGGATCAGAGCACTCCTCTGGTTTAAAAACTTAAAATAATCCAACAGAAAATCCTAAATAATCTCCCATTTGCCGTGAATGAACCAAATGACCCATCCGGGAACTGAAGATGCTAATGAACTCCCATTTCAGTCAGGACACTTTTTAAACATCGGTTAAATGCTCGTCCTTCCTAACCATGATTAGTTTTATATCCATTGAGTGAGCAACCTTTTCCAGATTCTCCAAAGCCAACATAAATGGAATAAAATAGAATCAATTTGGAAAACAGATCCAAAAATAAAAAGAAAATATCTATCTTTGTTTATCCTGGAGCCCCACTTAGAGCATAATGGAGAAGAAATGACCTTGTTAGATTTGTTGATCATTTCTGAAATTCTCCTAAGTTTCGGGGCCATGGTTATTTTGAGCAAATTCTTTCAATAAAGTCACATACTTGGCTATTTATTCAGCTACAGCCGCACTTTCATAAAAATATGCTTTCTAAAAAATCCATCCAAAAACCCCTTTTCTCTGAAGTCGTATTTATAGAAAATGTATGTAATGCATGAGGCTTTTGGTTCAAAGAAAAACCAAGTGAAACGTTATTTCCATTGGACAAAATCCGGCTGAAGGTCTGAAGGCTTTCACTTATTAAGGAGTCACTTTCTGGCTCCTCTGCTAATTGCATCAGACAAGGCTGTAACATTACTACGACCACGACTACTACTAATATGGATATAAATATATGGAGACAGCAGAATAGAGGAGAAAGAATTGGAGAAAATCACGAAGTAAAAAGACTTGCGAGTAGAAATAGAACGACTGCAGCCAAAGGAAGCTAAGGTAGCATCAGTAGTAAGAGGCAGCTTGGGGTACAATCCCAAAACATCTGCAGCACCATTCAAACACTATTGGCATTGATAAAATCCCCATCAGTCAATTACAACAGGCAGCTTTACTCGGAACAGCTTAACATCATCAAACATTCATATCTGGGAAGAACTTGATAGGTAGACAAAAATGCCAAACCCAGTCTGAACATCTGGCTGACCATGCAACGCACCACAATAAATGAATAAATATAAGTTAATACAAAACTGGATGCCATATCCCTCCCTCAAAATTGGATGGCACTTGGAAAAAATCTGTCAGTTTCCATCTGTCAATTGCAAAATGTGATCCTGTTTGGATCTGCACATATCGTATATTCTACCACTATATAATGACATCCAAGATTCTTGGGAAAAACTTGATGAGAATGAATTGACAGCTGTGATTTCACATTGTTCTGCATAATAATAACAGAAATATAAGCAAACACATATTCTATTGAAAAGAAGGGGTGGGTTGTTTTCAAGCTGAGGGCTCCTACAATAAAATCTGAATGAAGAGCCATGAGTTTGGGTAGAAATCTAAGCAGGATGAGACCTTGTTAATTCTTGATTTCCCGTTTTAGGGAATTACGGGGCTATAAGATAAAATGGCAACCTTAAAAAAAAAGATAATATTCAATCATTTCTGCCCTGTGACCAAGAAAATAAATGGGTGCACCTACATAGTGTTCAGGAGTTGAGTTCAACTCCAAAAAAAGCATAAGAACAGCCTTTAAAATGAATACATTATGGATCCCCCAGGAAATTCCAAATGGAAAACTCTACATTCAAAGATTGTACAACCGCTTCTGCCAATCCTTCTGCTCTCCACAAAACAAATATTCTTCTAACGTTGACTGTCTGAGCACAGTCCTTTCCCAAACACTGAATCACGAAGAGAAACGGCAGAAAATCAGAATGTGGCTTCTTAAAACCTCCATGCAATTAAACCAACTTATAGATTTTTCCTAAGAGACGTTTCTTCAAATGTGGATGAATTTCACATCCGGGCAGGCCAGATGTTCAAGGAATCCTTCTTTAGATGAGCTGACCAAAGAATCAAAGACGAGCTAGATTGTTTTATCATAATTTCAAAATTCTGCAAAGTCGAAAAACAGCCAGTGCTCAGATCTTTGGGGAATTATGAAAGATATACAATATATGGCGGGAATGCATGAAGTTGGGGGCTCCAGATAAGCAGATCCACAGGCTTGCTTTAAGTCCCACCTGGGATCTGATAAAATCCATGGAAGAACGTTGCCACGGGGTCATAGAACCATCAAAGAACCGTATGACAAAACATTGTTCCAATGCCTAAGTCCACTTGTGCTCCAAAACTTGGAACTTGGACTAATTCTTTCCACCAGAGGAGGAAACAACCCAACATTCTAAAAGTGACCCATGGATCCTTTGGGATATTGATCCCGCTTCTTCTGCTGGCTTCTGACCCATATGGTCCTCTGAAAATAGTTGGCTGATTTCAGCGAGAAATCTTGGCTTTGTCAGTTGGGTTGGGATGTCGTAAGGAGGGAGAGACTGTAATCCAGAAGAGGAGGAGACAACTCAGCTGAGATACCTTGGAATGGTACGGGAGTAAGAATGGATTTCCAGAAAAATTGCAGGCTACAGGAACCATTTGTGTTTCAGTTGGAGGTGGCGACAACACAGAGACATTCCCAATAGCCTACGCCTGTGTACAACAGTGAAGGGACTCGGAGCAGAAAATATCCTGCAGCCAAGAAGGTTCTGCGCCCATTTGCACCATTCAGGTGACCCTGAGAACATGGAGAAACTTCCAAGTGGCCTCGATGACTCCCAGAAAGGATGAAAATGACCAGCCGTTTGCAAGGAGTGTAAATCCTTTCATCTCCCACCATCCAGTCAGAGCTGAAGAAGCTTCTGGGATGAGAAGCGAAATGTCTTCCAAAGAAAAACCAGAAAGTCCAGTTGCCTCTGGGGGCGGGGAACCACTTTTGGGACAACCATGATTTGAACAACCCAGAATCTCCGTAGACTCAGCCCAGATATTATATGTGAGGGGGTGATGACAGCTCCGCATGTCTAATTGCATTTGGTTCGTCCCAGTTTGGATCTATTTGGGTTCTCAATGCTATTGTTTTTTATCCAGCAAGGAAACGAATGGACAATCCTAAGCCCCTTTATACATCATTCTGGAACTCAACCAGCAGCCGAGCCTTCTATGTACCACGACGAATTTTTTTCCCTGCAGGGACACATCTGGCAAGCCACAACATTTCCATCTATTTTTGCAGCTCTTTCTGGATACTCTTATTTGCTTTAATTATTCCATCGCCTTCCAGTTGAGCATCCCACTGGGCCCTATTTATCAACCGGTGACTGATCAGAATGGCTCTTGCCCTGCACCGAACACAACTTCAAGTGTTTCTAAAACAATGGACAATTAATCTTAATTTAAAAGAAAAAGAAAAAGAGAAAACCCCATCGCCCTTCCAGAAAGCCTCGATCTTTAAATGTGTTTTCAGAAGCGTGTAAACCAAACCAGTTTCTAAGCTGAAACCGTATAGGATCCAACGTGTCATTCATGAAAAATGAGTTCTGCTCTGCATGAAAAAAACATTAAAACTATAACCGCAAGGAAATGACCTAATGGAGAAAAGCAGATTGAGTTAATTTGTTATTAATTAACTGCTCCAACCAGAATCCATGAGGGGGAAGTGACCCAACACTACAATTCCAATTAAGAGAGTTCTTCCGCACCCGCTACCCCGCCGATAAATTATATCGACCAAGGAGAACATTCCAAATAAAAGAAAAACTTGGTGTTCCCTCTATGCTAGAAGGAACTCTTAAAATATTTCGGCGAATAAATTAAATTACTGCCTAAATGTATGTTCTGGGAGATCATGGAGAAGGTGGATAAACACCGTAGATTTTCCAGGGTCCGGCGCGAGCCCACCTTCCTCTTTTTTCATGATTTGGTGTTTAAACTATTCATCTAGGGCACGGTGAGGTCATGATCCCCGACTGGGTAGCAGCTGAATCCAGGATGGTTTACCCCATAACTATTTCCTTAAAGATGTTTTTAATGAGGAAGAAGAGGGTAGGGAGAAGAGGAGACCGAAAGGAGCTGTGTTCCCTTGGAAAAAAATAAAAATAAAATAGAAAATCTGTATATTACACAGGTAAGAAGAAGGGTTGAGAAGACGGCTGTAGAGCCCTCACGTCCTGGATATGAGCTATTCCAGCTCTTTCCCTCAAGATGGCGCTATAGAGCACCATATGCCAAAATAACTAGACACAGGAAATTTCTCTCCTGCCATCGCTCTGCTAAACACCTAATTCCAGTGGTGGGATTCAAAAAACAAATTACTACCGGTTCTGTGGACGTGGCTTGGTGGACGTGGCAGGGGAAGGATACTGTAAAATCTCCAGTCAGAGGTGGGATCTGCCGGTTCTCCGAACTGCTCATAATTTTTGCTACCGGTTCTGCAGAACCGGTCAGAACCTGCTGAATACCCACCTCTGTCTAATTCTCATCATATACTGTCTGAGGTCTATGTATATTTACCCACATAGTATCACTGTACCATTATTCTTATCTTCTTTACTTCCCCCTTTTATTGGTACAGCTAGTCCTTGACTCACAACGATTCATCGAGTGACGATTCAAAGTTAGGATGAACAGTGGAAAAAGTGACTTGTGACCATTTTCTTCACACCTACGACCACTGCAGCATCCACATGGTCACGTGGCCAAAATTCAGATGCTTAGCCGCTGGTTTATATGTAGGTGGGCTCCAGTATCCCAGAGTCTGGTGGTCTCCTTCTAATGACCAGCAAAGTCAATGGGGAAGCCACCATCGCTGTACAACTCGTGTTAGTTATTTAACAACTGCAGTGATTTGCTTAACCACGGTGGCAGGAAAGGTTGTAAAATGGGGCAAAACTCACTCAGCTCAATTTTGGGCTCAGTTGTGGTCGCAAGTTAAGGATTATTATTTTTATTATTATTATTATTTGTTACTACGACGACAACAATGACTATGACTACGACTACGACTACTATTTTCTCTGTTGCTCTGTATTACACGGAGAGCTTCTGTACCGGAGACAAATTCCTTGTCTGTCTAATCACACTTGGCCGAATCAAGTATTCAATTCAATCCAATTCAATTCAAGAGGTCCAGGGGGCTTCCTTTCTTCCTTCTTTGCAAAATTCCTAAGCTCAAAAACAAGGATTTGGTCAGACAGCATGGAAAGGCCGGAGCAGAAAGGATGACTTACGTTCGTATTGCAGAGTCTGTACTGCTTGTAGGCCCCAGTGCACACAATTGCTGCAGCCGGCTGAGTGGACATCTGCCCTTGGATGGTGGGATGAGAAGCTCCAGGGAGATGCCTGCTCCGTTCTATGCCCTGGAACAAACTTTGAGGTGCTGCTGGGAAGGTTTGAAAATGGGAGCCCGGTTGTTGATAGAAAGAGCTGCTCATGACCTGAGTCCTGGCTGGAGAAGATCGGTGGTCACCTGGGTACGTTCCTCCAGGATGATGGTGATGGGAAGGGTTACCTGGATGGGCAAAAGGGGAGGTGCCACCAGTCCCTTGTTGGTTGGGTGCAGGCTGCATGGACTGGCGTTGCTTTCGGGGCTTATGTGCCGATTGTCCTGTGTCCGTCTGCAGTGGGAGAATGTAGGGAACTTTTCCATAGCCGTATTTCCCGGGTCCAATGGAGCTTTTCTTTCGGCCTCTGAGGACAGAGAGAGCAGGAGAAAGCAGATGAGCCATCATGTTTCAAAACAAGCAACCAACAGCTTCAGGACCAGTCCCAGATCCAATCAGCCAAATACCAACCCAATAGGCTTCCCTACTTATTCTCCTGTAGCTCAGAGTGATGGAGGAACCCAATCACAGAAACCTTGCAAGAAATCAGAAGTACGGAAGATGTTCTGCAGGGACCACAAGTCTATCTAGACCAAAGGTCTTCAAACTTGGCAAGTTTAAGACTGGTGGACTTCAACTCCCAAAATTCCTGAGCTAACATGACTGGAGGAGGAATTCTGGGAGTTGAAGTC